GCACACTGGAATAACTTTACTATGATTTTATTTAAGTTATTCCAGTGTGCGGTGGTCAATATTGATTTCTTACTACATGGCCCTGCGTCCTACCAGCACCTGACTGTTGTTGGCAGTGCATGGGGAGTTTTGTTTACAAGTTATATTAATAATAATAATAGATGTTGTTATCCTGCTTGTTTTTCAGAACTCAATCCTGGCCGTTGCAGGAGACGATGAAATCGTGAGGTTATGTGACACGGGAAAAGAGAAATGGGTGTGTGAGTTTAAGGCTCATGAAACCAGGTATATTTAGTGTTTTTACCTCACAGATCCACCACCATGTATGTCTCAAAGATATTAAGTGCAGCTGTTTTCAGTGTGTATTTAACTTATTTTGTGAAAATATTTCTGATGCCGAGAAGAAAGCTGCACTTCTCTTTGTGAGAATTAAATACTATGAAACTAGCTGATATTTTGCAGTATATTGTATATTTGTGTTTATATATATATATATGTGTATATAAGTGTTTATTATAGTTCTCGTGTCATATTTGGTGAAAAGTAAGCGAACACACCGGCGTCCTTTTGTGATTTCAGAGTAAAAGCAGTTGACAGTTTCGTTATGGAGGATTTCTGCGTGATGGTGACGGCTTCAAACGACGGATTCATCAAAATGTGGAAGCTTCATCTAAAAGAGGCACGTCTATAAGTTATTTATGAGTGTATGAGATTTCAATGTTAACTGAATTCCTTAGACATTTACATGAGCAGCGACAGTATGTTCATAAATAACCTTTCCCTTATTGTCTTTACCTGTTGGCGTTTATACTTATCAAAGCAGAATAATAAAGGTCTTTTAAAGGCAATAATAACTCACGTGAGATATATGAGACAATAAAACTTTCTGTTAAGGAAAAAATAAAGTTATATAAACCAGTCTGTTAAAGAAAAAAAGATCCAACAACATACTCCTGCTGTCCAACAGGAGCTAGAATCTCCCACTCTCCTCGGGGAAGTGAACACATCGGCCAGACTGACTTGCCTCGCAGTGTGGAAACCTTCGTCCATGCCGCAGATCACTGAGGAACCCGCAGCTGAGGCAACAACATCTGAAGGTAGTTCTGATTCACTTCATCATCACGTTATTAAAGATATTTGAGCTACAGACGTTAGCCGGTATACTGAGGTCATTTTGGTCTTTATTTTTAAGTTTTCGTGTTGATGAGGATGCACTGTGGGTGCTTTCTGACAGTCTAGGTCAACAGAGCTGATGTGTCTATGTTTGCTTCTGTCCACAGAACTCGCTCGGGAGCTTTTAAAGACGAAGAGAGTGCGAATTGCAACGGAAGAAGTCATCCTCGAAGATGAGAGCAAACCCAAAAAGAAGAAAAAGGCTGGTGGAAAATCAAGCGAGAAATAATAAACACGTTTTATTATTGGTGGACTGTTTTATATCTGGACTTGTTTGTTCACATGTGCATTTTGCAGGTGATAAACTGCAGCTTTTAAGGATAGATTTTATGAATATAGTTGCTGTCAACGCTGAAAAGAAGAAAAGACAAATGGAAAATGAGATGGGCGACAATAAAAATGTTTTATAATCCATTTATATCTGATGTTATATTGTCAAGCGTGTATTTACTCACGGTTACCACAGGGAGGTGATAAAGCATGGCTGCTGATTGTATTTTTTTAAGGATGTATTTGGTCTCTTTGTGGAAAGATATTTATGAGGCGTCACTTTCTTCCTTTGACAATGTTGGAAACAGACAAGATCTCATTAACTAAAATAATATTTACCACTCAAAAATGTGTTTTTCTTGTTCCTGCAGTTGGATGTTTGAGCTTCACTGTGCAGAATGATGTCTGTGCAGAGTTTGACTCTAAAAGATGTTTTCACATCATTTGCTGAAAGTTTCTCTCGTTAAAAATCAGATTTTAAGGGAGTGTTACTTGTAACATCACAAATAATCTAGAAATCAATCCTGGTCTAGTCTGCAACTTTAACATGTGTGATGTAGAGATTTAAAGCCACCAATGCACAGACACAGAGGACTGACTTTACAGTGAAGCAGGAGACATATTGTGTCCAGCAGGAAAACATTAGATATTAATATAACGTGCATATTTATAGATTTTAGAATTTTTAATAAGGTTGAAGGTTTTTTTTTAAAAGGATTTTAATGTGTAAATACTTTTTTTTTATAAGGGGAAAAAAACATCAAATACACATTATTGTTCAAAGCAAACAGAAAAAATGTATTTATGTCTGGAGTTTGAACCATTACAGACTTTTATTTTGAAATGAAGCCCAAAATGATGTAACCACGTCAGGGTTACGTCCGGAAGTTGTTAGCTTAGCTTTGGTGCTATCTTAAACTTGTGACAGAGTTCAGGTATGATTGTTTGTATTATTTCTAGTACGTTGGATGTTTCTCATAATAATAACAATAATAATAACAATGTACTCCCAGCAGCAGCAGGCAGTCTCTGAGCTGTGGACATGGCTGTAGACTGGATTGGGTTCAGTTATGCTGTTCTGGTGTCTGCAGGAGGAATTATAGGCTTTGTGAAAGCAGGTAGGAGAGACACCGACCTGTTTGGTGTTAAGATATAGACAGTTTTGGAGGTTATATATGTGTTAGCCACTGATGCTTGTATGATTGGTTGTAACTGTATAAAAAAGGTTAAAATACTCACAGAAAATCAAAATTATTAAGTGAAAGGGAAAGACTGAGATCTTTTATTTAAAGATCCCCTCCAGATATGTATTAAAGGTCCAGTGTGTAACATGTAGGAGGATCTATTGACAGTGTTAAACCCCACCCTGAGGTGGTCCTACAGGGCAAACAACACTCCACCTCTGGCCCCAAAACAACCTTTAAAAACACCCAAATACATTGGATTCATTAACATAAAGAAATACAAACAACCAAGAGATTAAGACAATCAAAAGACACAAAGTAACACCAGTAGTCCCCACTCTAAAAGCCTCTGATGCTTTTAAGCATCGGTCAGGAGCAGAAACACTCCTTTCAGAGTGTTATATTATTAATAATACATTATTATTGTGGATTATTAATGTTAAAGTCGTCTATGTGCAGCCAATTTTAGATACTTACATTTTTTTATACATTATTGGTTGGTTTCCAGTAAAGCACTGCAACATATTGTATAAGCTAATAACTGCAAATAATGTAGTGCACTTGCTGAAATACAGTGAAATCTAAATCTAAAGTACAGTACTTAAGTAAATGTTCTTTTATTATTAGATTTCACAGTAGATTACTGTTTATTCCCCCAGGCAGCAGCACCTCTCTGGTCGCAGGGCTCCTGTTTGGCCTTCTGGCTGCTGTCGGTGCTTATCTGGCATCTCAAAATCCCAAGAATGTCTGGCTTTCACTAGGTGAGCAATTTTAAGTTTGTTAAACGGTGACTGTCCAACTGCAGCTTTCACAAACAAATGACAACAACCGTTTCCCTCCAGGCACCGCGGGAACTCTGGCCGTGGTGATGGGACTGAGGTTTCTCAACTCCTGGAAGTTCATGCCAGCTGGTTTAATGACTTTAACAAGGTAATACACATTTCTTTACATATTTGATCAATTCTGACTGTTCCTGGGATAAACATTCACAATATTCTGCAACCGTATTCTTATGTTGTTTTTCAGTGTACTGATGCTGCTGAAGATCATCGTTGGAATGCCGAAGAAACCATATAAATCTTGAAAATGTTTAAATATACTTTTCTGTGTGTCTGTACATATTCTTGACCAAACTAAATCTAATTTGTACTCCATTATATTGTCCATTCACAAACATTCCTTTGGTATATTTTCTATTACAGCCCGGTTTTGTATAAAAAATGTACTATATAAGATATGTGATTTAGGAAAAGGTCAGAACTGATCTGTCTGTCTTTTATAGAGTTTGATGATGTTTTTTAGTTTGTAAATGTATTTCTGTTGCTTTAAAGTAATAACTTCAACCACTTTAATTAAAAAAATAACTTCTTTATTTAATCTTATAGTCTATTATTTAAAAAGAAAAACAAAATACTGACAGTAGAAGTCATAGGACACTTTTACAACACTGAACAATATTTAATAGCGTGGCAAATGTAACAACAGGCTCACAGGAAACGTTCGCACAATGTTGGCAGCATCAAACACTAAAGTCTGTATTTCCTGGCAAAAGTGCGGTGGGGGGATTTTTCCCATGAGTCACTGGTGGTGCAGAGCTGTGCTACTGGTGGCCTCCGTATTTGGCGCTCCAGTCTACTCGTCCGTGCACTGGCTGGATGTTTGTGCTCTTTGAAAACTTCCCTGTAACGCTGGCGCTGGACCCAGGCATCTGAGGGTTCAGAGATCTGCTCCTCCTCCCTTCGCACTCTGGGAATATCATCGTGAGAGAGGAGGGAAGTGTTTAGGCTATACTCGGGAGGGGGGAAAGTAACATAAAGCTGCACATACTCTGATTATTTTTACCTTCTTTTGAGAGCAACAGTTTATTTAAGGAGGTCTTGCTCTTGGCCGGTTTGATTTTAGACTCGACTCTGAGATCAGCAGCAGATGACAGATCAACTAGAAGATTCACAGAAAGAAAAGTTGGGGTAAATATCAATCAGATCAGGGTTTGATAGCCAAGGTTATAACAGTTATAACAATTCTGTGTATTAACCCCAAAAAAAACTAATATACAGTAAATGTCTTTAGTTTAGGAGGCATTAGTGCTGTTTATTGAGACTTTATCACAGTCTACAGAACTCTGAGTCAATGTGTTTGTACTTATTCTGAACTTCTTCAGTCTTGCCCCTGATGAATAACCCCATATTGTAATAAAAACACCTAAAACTGACACTGAGCAAACCCACTCTGGAAACTAACTGAAACTACACTGAATCGAAAACAAACCCCTAACCTTAATGAAATAAAAATAAAAACTAATGGAGAAATACAAAACTATACACTGGTATAGCTTCTACATCCTCTCAGACTCTTCTATCTTTAAGGGAGGTACTGACTCCTTTTGAACTCCAGGGGGCGTGTTGTTAAAGTACGACTGAAGAAAAAGTTAAAAGAAGTGCTGCTCGTGACTTGAACAAACTGCACTCAAGACACAAACAGTTTCCAGCACCGTCAAAGACCTGAACCTGATTGGTACCAAGTAACACTGAACCAAGAGCGTCTGACTCAACCGTTATTGTGTCTGAAAACATAATAAAGTCCTCTGTTGTGACTCACTAGCAGAGGTGCCTCCTATCGGTGCCAGCGTTATACGCTGTCTGGCTGCTCCTGTTTCAGTCTTCTGAAAAGGTGATGTGTATTTCTTGGTTGTGTTGTTGGAGTTGCTCATAAAGGAGTCTGGAAAGGACAACGAAAGTATCACATAAAACAATGAATCATCCTCTACAGACTTTAGTTTCCTCGAGGTCCATGTTCATTCTCACACATTAACTTGTGTCTTTGTGTCAAATAACCACCTGTAAGTCTGTGAACTGCTGCTAAATCTGAAAGATACCTTTGTTAAGATCAAGATCCTCCAGGGTCTTTTCTTGTAGAGGCTGCTTATCTGTTAGCTTAGGAAGACTAATGTCTAAAAACCACAACACAGAAAGAAAAAAGGATTAAGGTGAGTGAAGGAGAGGAAAACAGCTACAGAACACAACGTATTTGAAGTGTACTTTGAGTTTTTTCCAGTCTTGAATGGACATTGGGTTTAATTTAGCTCTGGCTGCTTCTTATGTGACGGGTGACTCATATATAAAAGGTTTCTTCTTTTTCAGCACAGAAGAAAAACAAATAGTTTAGCATGTTACTTTAATGTTTTTTCATCAGGAATCGTCTGCTGTTGAACGCCGTTTCTAACTTTGTAGAGCTCACGTGTTGA